GTCGTTATTCGACAGTTTTCTTAGTTTTCCACTTTCGACTTCCTCCTGAAGTATAACTGTTAGACTTACCAGGAGATCGCTCCTGCGCATGACATCTGAAATCTGTTTTTTTAATCATGTATATTTGTGACAGTGACATGGACAATTGCTGGCTTTAAGACAATTGGTGGCTTTAAGATCTTTTTGGGGGAACCGTGGCAGAGGTTCGCAAAGCCGCTTTTCAAAAGTGTGAACAGAAATGCGTTCTGTCGTTCTTATCCATAGGCTGAAGTTATCAAACCAATGTATGAAGAGTTTCGGCTATGGATACTCCGCACTGTCCCCGGCGATTCACGTTGGATGTGACCTCTGTCCACCTTGAGCGCATCAGTGTGTCAGGTTGCATAATGCGTCAATTTTTGCGCTGCAAATGTTAATTTTTTCGACCTGTAGTTGATTCAGACAGTAGTAATACTCAATAGCGTTGTTTATCAATTTCTATGCAGTTTTACGAAGATGGTTCTAAATTAGTTTTGTAATTTAGATTATACAAGAAATGTTCTAAACTTCTGCAGAAAGATTCATCTGTTTGAAGATGCTGTTAAAATCAAGGTTTCTAAAGAAGTTCGTCAAGAAGACACCATGCTATCAAAGGTGTCTTCGGCGTTTTTGCTAAATTAGCATTCCATTAAATGAAATGGAATGCAGGACTTTCGCTCAACAGCATATGATTGGCTCATTATCGACATCATGTTATCGCGAACGATGAAAAAAGCCTAATCCTTGCAATGCGAGAGTTGGGTAGCAATCAAATTGGCCTTCATATGAACTGGGGCGAAGATACAGATGATGACAAACTAATTCACAATTTGCTGACAAGGTGACATAGTGCCTAAGAGGATGACTTAGACCTCCGGGGATGCCGGGCTCAAATCCACTCAAGGGACTGACTTTGCCTCAATCAGCAAGGAATTAATTCCACGTTGGTTCGGCGGGTAAGTAAGTTGCCGACGCGTGCTGTTTTGCTCTGATCATGCCGAAATATGTGAAGCTGTGTGCGGCCACTTTGTCGGATGCGAACGCCATTTGTGGTAGCAATTCGCCTTACCCCACCTGATAGCTGATTATCAATGAGAACCAAACAGAAGTCACCGAATATGTCTAATTTTGGCAGCAAATCGTCGCGGGTCACTGCTCTGGTCCAGAGTTCGCCGCTTTAAGCAATCCGGCTCGGAGAACATACTGAATAAACGCTGACATTGTGGAAACGGAAAATTTTCAGTTGCGGTTATAACCACACTGTATGAAAATGCGGAATTGTTAACAGCTGCACACGGCTGTTGGACCTCGGCATGAACGGAGACGATGAAAAATTGCTAAGAGTACGGCAGCGGGCTTTGGAAAGAAGGATGCGAGGAATTTTCATCATGAATAAGTTATGAAATGAAGAAATCAAGACGTGCGGGAATACAGGCTATCGTATCAGTTTCAAAAGCGAGAAAAGCAACGGAAGACTACATCGCATGATGATGTGTGAGTGATGGACTTCGATGGTGGCTGACTGGTGCTTAAGGTGCTGCACATACCCAGTTGGAGGATCTCGGCCCAAAGCTACGGGAGAGATGATGATCGAGCAGTCATTGCTTGCACAGACGATCGGCAAATGATAACGATGACAGTCCAGCACAACTTGGAGGAATTGCGGCAAGAAACTATGCTTTTGAAACTCTAGAGGTTCCTGTTGAGACCCAGACATTGGCGCAAGATCACGAACATAGACTATCTGACGGTTCTGTCCATTATATCCCAAACGAAACAAGTTACATTCGAAACAAACTGACCTACCACAACTAACAGCGGTCAGCCTGTAACTCACTATGAAATATCGAAAGATTTTTTGAAATTCAGAATGGTCGACAACGGACATCAACAATAATCACCCATCGTGATTATTTTCATTGCAATATCCTACTTTAAGTCGTGGTTAATGAGACACATAAGAATTTGCTTTACTTCTGGAAGATGAAGCAGATGTACGCAGCGTGCAGAAATTTCTGCAATCCTTGTTTTATTCAAATCGCCTTAAACCAATATTCGAACGTTTTGCTGTACAGCCAACTGTACTTATTGTTCAGCCACAGGACATCTAAATAATGCACCTTAAATACATTAAGAAACGTGGGTAACAAGATAATTCATTTTTAATTACAGCTTCAGTTAATCCCATCATGGGCACTTGTCGTAAGTTACACAGTCGTCTGTTATAAAATAATATCAAGCATACTAAGTCATGGTTTACCACAGTCATAATGTTTATATAATGGATCGGTCTACACTCGGTTTAAAACGGGCCGCGCAGATTGTTATGGAACTGAGGCAGTCCGTGATTTGTGAGCGAAGAGAATCTATTTCAGGTCTTATTGTGCTTGGTGAAGGATGGTTAAGTAGTGGCTGAAGGAACAAAACAAGGTTGAAATGAGGTGTTATTTTACCGCTTAAGGCAGAACAGGGGTTATCAGAAAAAACATGAGGATGGTCTACCTCCTCATTAATGCAAGCGAGCAATGGACCACAAACGGTTCATTGACAAGAACTTGCTGCTAACAGAACTGAAGCTGGATGAGAGTAGCCACCTCGCAGGAGGATAAACTAACTCGCTGTATTCGTACAAATATCCCGGAGAAACCTAGGAGACCAGAAATCGAAATGGCAAATGTGACAGAAGTCATCCACCTGTGTGATAATGAATAATCGCTTCAGCAGGACATCTTCTAGCAGTTCGAACTGCTTCAGAAGCAAGAAAAAGCAGCTTCAGGCTAACAGTGTCCTGGGCAAAATACCAATTTTTAATTTTAGATCCATCAATGGTGTGACATGTGCGACGGCTATTGAAATAACGAAGAAACTTTGCGTTAATTTTAAAACAAATTCGAGAAAAGGAGAAGTGCCACCGACCGTGATTAAGAAAAATCACGAACAAAGAGGAAGAAATACCCCGAGAACAAAACCAGCGACAGCAAGTAAACAGAGCAGCGTTAAGATATCAACTAGGAATATAATGAAAATCTACAGGACTGAACTCGACAAAGCCATCAGATCTGCATGCGATGCTGCTAGCTGTATTGGTATAGGTTTCATCTGAGCATGACAGAACCTTCGCTCAAAATGTTAGGCCTTCTACATTGGAAAGAAAGAAAACTGGAGGCAAGAAAAAACGCATAACTAATGCAGAAACCGCTGGTCCCAACGCCGAAAATTCGCTTCAGTTTTGGGCAGTGCCAGACCTGGTTCCGGAGCATGCGTTCTGACATAAGCGGTTAACATGTCTGCGTCGTTGTCCATAACCCATGTTCTTGCCTTCAAGACTAGATGTGTCCCTCTTTCCATTAGCCAAGAACATGATTCTTCCTCAATCACTTTTTGGCAGCATTCTTGCAGAAAGTGACTGAAGAAGAATCATGTTCTTGGCTAACGGAGAGAGGGGCACATCTAGTCTTGAAGGCAAGAACATGGGTTATGGCCAACGCAGGCCGTTCCACGACCGGTAAACTCTTGGCCTCAATGTTGGCCAATACAATTTGCGAGCATATCGAGGCGAGAAACTTCATATTTCCTCAACAAAAGGCTGCCGGATAAAACCAAGGGGACTTAAGAGCCGTGACTCGTGGGCAGTACGCTATTACGTCCGAATTGTAAAATGAAAAAGACTAAAATGGCCTTGGTTTGGATAGACTTCAGGAAGCCATTTGTTATAGTACCACATAGCCGGATTCCAGAACACTTGGAACTTTACAGCTTCATTGACGGTATAATAAAATTCTTCGAAGAAACGAGAAAACAGTGGTGAACAATACCACTTTCTAACACTGATTCCCTGGGATCAGTTAAGATCAAACTAGAAATTTACCACTGAGATTTAAACTGCCATTTCTATTTTGTTTGGTATTGAATCTCCTTGCTTACATGCCGAACAACACCAAGAAAAGGATATAGGTTGGAAGACGGAAGTATAATATCACCCATGTTGTAGATAAACGATCTGAAGATGTATGTTTGATCAAGAACGAGGCTGGATAATCTGATCCAAAATGCTGGATTCTTTCGGAAGATATCAAGATGCAATTCAGTTAGGATAAATGTTCTATGATCAAGATTTAGAACGGAAAGATGCTAAAAAAATCAACGAAATACTGGTGGCAAAATAAACAAGGGACTTAACAACATTGAATGTGCTAACATTTAACAATATATTACGTGAAATGATGATATGACGATTAAGACGGAATACGAGAAGAGAATTTGTCGAATCCTTAAGAGCAAATTGTGTGGAAAAAAATTTTGGATACTATCTAGTATGCGGTACTGATATTTGCTCGTGCCGGAGGCATCTTAGAACAGCGCAAACGAAAAGCAAATCACTGAACAGAAAGACATGATGGATCTAGAATATGTACAGGATGGTACCCAAACGCAGATACGACTTAATACGACAAATATAGACTATGTCCCGCGCAAAGAAGAAAAAGATGACTTCGTGGTATAAAATTACCGAGGAACTAGAGACTTCATTCATGGTAAACGTTATTTATGTAAAGGTTAACGGCCTGTGCAGACTTGAACAACAAGCAGTTGAAAATTTAGAAAATCTACGGAAAATGTGGAGATCACCCACTACAACGGGTTCAAGAATAAAGAGCTTCATAAAAGATATCTTCGTATGCTCGGTGAAGACATAGACACCCACTGGACTTTCAACTTTCAAAAATTGAACCCGTTTAAACAGCAGCTCAAGGTCACGCAAAGAATAAAGCATAGATTCTGCAGAATGTGTCAAATGAAGGTGAGACCTTGGGCTGTGTAACTTCCGGCTGTGGAACGCTCGCGATTCGAGAATAAAAAGAAAGCCCAACAGAGTCGCAAGGACAGTCATCGGCATTTCTGCAAGTCAGCCTACTTATCACTGGCAAACAATCATGCAAACTTCAACCGAAAACATTGAATGAGACTGAGTCAGTGAAAATACTTTGTGACTCCCCATTTCGAACGAACAACGAAATATCGGCTTATGGTAAAGATACCATGTTGGTGGATTAAGCGAAACGGCGGGCATTAAACGTTGATACAGTATTCCAGGCTGATCGGCAATGTTGTAGTTAGGAAGAGAGAAATGGTATTGAAATATGAATAATTTACTATGGAAATACTAAAGATCTGGAGATTGAGGCCTGAAAGCATTACCTTCGTTATCAGTACTCTTGGAGCAGTGAAAAGTGTTCATCAGCTCGTACTGAAGTCAAGCGATGAGTGTGGATGAACTGCAGAGTTCCACCATGCTAGGAACAGCCAGGATTTTAGGATGAGCACTACCGCTCCCTACCTCTTGATTGATGGTTCATGCTGAAGTGATGCTTGTGCCATTCATGCATTACATGATGAACTGCCACTGAAATGACACAAATATCACATAATATGAACAATGTCATATAAATGATTCTAAGCTCTTTATGATTGTTCATGGCAATAATTTTTGAAAATGATTGGTTAAAATAATTCACTGAGTTTGCGATATCATTGGAAGAGCGAGAAAGTTTGAATTGGAAAGGATAAGAAACGTCTAAACAAGAACGGGCTATCACTAGGCAGATATTTGATTATAGATAGCATTGACAGTATACTGCCCGTGTGAAGACCTCCTCAACAGTCGTAAGATGAACTGCATTAAATTTTTGGATCAACGTGGTTAGGAACTATAAGAGGCACAATTTTGCGATGAAATCTTGGAGGGGCCTTTATTTAGCTATGGATTAATAAAGCCCATCGACGATGACTTCCAAAGTCCAAAGATAGTCTTGGATCGAATCGAATCGATTCCTGGCAGCAAAAGCATGAAAGATAAAAATGAGCTGATCAACAAGGAGTACGTTAAATTAAAGGCGTGCTTTCATACCCTGTAACACTAAGTAGATGGGGATAGCTGTAGCGACACTCGTGAAATTCTCCTTAGAACATTTCCGTTAAATACCAGCAATCCACAGATAAACGCAGTCAGCAACGTAATTAATCTTAGAATCTTAGAGGAAATAAT